TTCACACAGCGCCTTATAAGGTTGTTTATCCAATATGGCCCCTCCGGCACAGGGTGGAGCTGCTGGGGTGGGGCTTCTTTGCCTGCCCATCTGGTACGTCAGCAGGGAGAGTCAGAGGACATCAGGCAGGCACGGCTAAAGGCAAGCCTTTAGGAAGGCTGCCCATGCCTGCTCTGTCCTCTTCCCGGCTTGCAAAGCAAAAAGGAGGAGTGATGTCTGGTAGCCAAGCAGTTTCATTTTCACCATGTGGCTGGAACAGCTCTGGAGCATCCCTGCTGGGATTTGGGCTCTGCATTGACAGAACCCCAAGGTTTTTTTGGGGGGATCTTCAGTTTAGTTGTGCCTTGGCAGCATTGCCAGGGCACCGTAAAAAAAATAAAAAATAATAATATTAAAATAATAATTTGCATTCAAAGCCATAGGGCATTGTTACAGATAGTTGGAGGGGCTGATGGACCTGGGGGAGGAGTAATAAGGGGGTACAGTTGGTGTAAGGGAGTCTCTGACCTCTCCCACCCCGACACCCTTCCTTTTAAATGATTTTTTAAAATAATTAAATTAAAATTAAAGGAGGAGGTGAGAGAAATTGAAGGGAGTAAGTGTGAGGAGGCACCGCATTGGCCAGGAATTACCATGCAGTAGCAACTCTGGCACTAAGAAGGGTCGGGGGGGCAATAAAATAAAGCAGCCTGCAAAATGCAAGGCTTCCCCTAACAATTTCATCTTCAGATGAGGAGGACTGGCTGGACTACACGGCCACATGGGAAAAGCTCAATGCCTTAGAGATGAAAAGAGTGCAAGTCAGGGCAGTTGTAGGATCATCCGTGTTGCGTAGTTCATGTGGGGAGTCCAAAGCACACAGGCTGCCAGAACTTAAGAGATGGGGGACATTATGCTCTCTCGCATTGCTGTTTTAGAAGCTGAGCCTCCAGGTCCTTCTGACCTATACGAATGGAACTCCCAGCACCAGTGCAGCATGTTGAGGGGTTGCAGGCGGCTGCAACAAGCATACACATACAGCACGAGGGAGGGAGTGTTTCAAGAGGCAGAGATACAGCCTCTGCACAGGTAGATGTGGCAGTTCCAGGTGAGATAACCTCTACACCAGGCACTACCAAGATGGTATTCAGCATCAGGTCTGTTGGTTTAAAAAAAGGTCTCGTTGGATAGCCAATTTGCTTTCTTGCATTTCCTTTTCTTTAGGATGGTTTTTGTTACTGCCTCCTGTACAATGTTACGAGCCTCTATCCAAAGTTCTTCAGGCACTCTGTCCACCAAATCGAGTTCCTTAAATCTGTTCTTCACTTCCACTATGTATTCATAAGGGATTTGGTTTAGATTATACCTGAGTAATCCAGTAGTTTTTCCTGCTCTGTTCAGTTTAAGCTTGAATTTTGCTATGAGAAGCTGATGATCAGAGCCACAATCAGCTCCAGGTCTTGTTTTTGCTGACTGTATAGAGCTTTTCCATCTTTGGCTGCAGAGAATATAATCAATCTGATTTCAGTATTGCCTATCTTGTAATGTCCATGTGTAGAGTCGCCTCTTGTGTTGTTGGAAAAGAGTGTTTGTGATGACCAGCTTGTTCTCTTGACAAAATTCTATTAGCCTTTGCCCTGCTTCATTTTGAACTCCAAGGCCAAACTTACCTGTTGTTCCTTTTATCTCTTGACTCCCTACTTTAGCATTCCAGTCCCCTATCTTTCTTTCAAAGAAAGAACATCTTTCTTTGGTGTCAGTTCTAGAAGGTGTTGTAAGTCTTCATACTTGTCCTTGTCCTCTGCTCTTCCTCAGTAGCATGTTGGACGCCTTCTGACCTGAGGGTCCCATCTTCCAGCATCATATCTTTTAGCCTTTTGTTTCTGTTCATGGGATATTCTTGGCAAAGATACTGGAGTGGCTTGCCAGTTCTTGCTCCAGGTGGATTGCGTTTAGTTGGAACTCTCCACTACGACCTGTCCATCTTGGGTGTCCCTGCACGGCATAGCCCATAGCTTCTCTGAATTACTCAAGCCCCTTCGCCACAACAAGGCCCTTGGGGTAGTAAGAGCCAATCAGAAAGTAGAGTTGTTTAAATAGTAGGTCAAGTAGTACTGCAGAGAAATGGGTATCACTGATGAACTCCTATGGTCATGGTTATATCACTGAGTATGTCAACAGGGGACTCCTGAAATCTTGAGATTTGTGGGCTGTCCTGTGGTACCCTCTTTGCGGCCAACATGATTTATGTTCTTCCTAAAGTCATGTGATTAGGAGAGAAATTGTCTTGAGGAGCCAGGTTGTAGATCTGTAGCAAGACATTCCACATTCTTATAGGACAGTAGAGGAAGTTGTAGAAAGTCACTGCTTTTGTTCTTTCATCTGCACTAAGGTAGGAACCTCAATAGGTCAGGGTCGTTATAAGGTTAAATATACTTCAAATAAAGTTGTGCCTTTAGTTCAATCCCATCATTGTTGTTTGTCCCTGTATTCCAGGGGGATGGGGGAGATAAATGAAAATAAGTTAAGGCATGCCAATGATATTAACTACTACTTACCCTTTACAAAGAAAGATTCATGGGAGAGTCAGTTATTGCATTTGTTTCAGATGAATTTGAATCTTTTCCTACTTGAATTAAAGCCGTAGAACTGATGTAATAAATCCTATTTAAGCGAAGGTAAAATAGTTACTGATTAACTCTGATTAATAATCAGACTCTGTAGGTAGAAAGGCAGATCTCTGAATTAACTGACACAAGACTGCATGAATAGAGAAGTCCAAGTTTTCTATCAATACGCGTTTCCAAAGCAAGTACAGATCCAGCAAGTGTTCTCCGGTGTGGGTCACCATTGACGCATAGCATGAAATGAAATGTTGCAGTTAATCTCTGTAACTGTATTCCATGTTCATGGCTAGATTCATAATTTGGAACAAATGTAACTAACATGATGAGTTAGATACCATGGTCAGGGGATGGTTAGCATGTGAAGCGCCAGTAACAGCATATATGTGGCAGGTTTCACATAGCTAAGATCTTTTATTATTCAACCAAAATGTATGCATCCAAAAGGAGCCCATACTAAGTAAATGATCCAAATTACTAGCTCTTCTGCTACAGTTCTGGCATTGCTACTCCCGTACATTTAGAATCTCTATTTAGGCTGTCAAAATAATTAGATTGGCATGGGACACCTATAATCTATAAGGACAGTAAACTTCTATATTTGGTTTTTCAGATAGGGAGCTTTTAGGAATTACTGCCTTTCTACAGTATGCTCTTCCTGTTGTCATAAGGACTAGAAACTTATTTTTAATACTCCGGCTCATTCAATTTTTTAAAAAAATTCTCTCCACAGAAATATAACTGTGAAGCTATTTTTGTTTATGGATTGGAGTCCATACAGATTATTGTCAAAACAAATGTGTTAGCACTTGAAGTGCTAGAGGATTTCCTGTTGTTAATGCTATGATGAGCTATGTGTCTACCTCTTTGTAAAGCAGTCCATATGGCAGCTACATTGGTTGTATAAAACTGAGACAAAAACTGTGACTTGCCGTCACTCAGCTTGGCATGGATTAAAAGCTAAGCAGGTGTCACCTGTCAACAAGAGCAAGGACACATGTCTCCTAGATTCAAAAATAGGAAACTGTTCCTCTTTGCTGCAGGCCCCAGAATTCCTTAGACAGGAGTTGGCTGAGGAATATTTCCCATTTGTGCCTAGAATTCTGAGAAAATGTACACAAAGATGGCAGGTGAATAGTCAAAGGCTATAGATGTGGGCCTCCCGCTCAGCACTTGCGTACAGTTCATTGCAAACTTTTAGTCAAGAACTGTATGGGTTCCCCCTTCAGGCATTTTTATCCCTCCAGCAAAAGTATTCTGTATGACGCTAACCAAGATTGTCCAGACTGTATTTAAATATCCAGCTTGATCTATGCATGCATAAAAGTGAAGCTGCAATCGAGACTGTATCTCTTTTCAGTCAGATGGTTGGGAATCATATCTCTGAGTGCTATATGTGAAAACAAAATCCCTGCAAGTAGAAAATTAGCATAGTAATAAAGCTATGCTAGAACATTACCCCAAATATGACATGATTACTTTCTTATTTCAGAGGTACTTGCCTAAATCTCACTTGTTGGTGTAACACTGTCAGCATAAATCTTGGCAGCAAATCAAGTTAAGTCAGCATAGGCATTTACTATTGTGCACTAAGTCAAGTAAATTGGCATGTAACAGTTTATGCCTAACACCTTAACTTGTGGCAATCCACTGCTGAGATTTATGCTGATTGTGTTACACTAGCATAAGAACACAACAGGATTTTGGCCTTTGTTTCTGCACAGGGAGCATTCAAAATAATCCATATCTCTCTGTTTTAGCTGGAAGTGTTATAGGGATGGGTTCTTCCTCCACATTCAGCTGTGTATTCAAGACTAGGACAGAGCCAGACAATATTAATACAGTATAATCTTCCCCGGAACATCTGTTTTTACTAATAAATAGAATGCAACTAACTGAGGTCATTCCAAGCCACTCAGTGCTACTGTGGGCTCCCCAGGTGGTCTAGAAACCATTCCACCCATCCAGAGCCCCTATATTTCATTAAGATAAAACTGAATGGTGCTGTGTTTACATCTTTCCAGCAATCAAGTCAACACCCAGGTTGTGCAGAGTGCTTTGCTGGAGGTATGAAAGAATCTTGAGTTTACTTCACATGAGCATGTTAGATCTGTAGGCAATACATGCAACTTGAATAAATTATATCAGCAGGACTGAAATTGGCAAGAATTCTAAACAGTGGTCTCAAGTCAATACGCAAAACTGAAAGTCGACATTTCCAAAACATTGCAAATACGTAAAAATTGACTCTTTTTTAAAATCCTAAATGTAGTATCTTTTAAATCAGTATGCTCCAAATTAGGTTCCACAAGAAACGATTAATGTTACAATTGTGTTGAAATGATGTCTTCCGAATATCAAACTGCAGACGTTGCTGAGGCAACTTTAAAGACTCTGGTGGGAGTACTGAAGGAAAAGACAAAGAAGGACAGACTGAGAAGTCAGCACAAAACAAGTGAGTCCTGTTGGGCCAGCTGTCTCGGAAGCTCCGAAAGAAGAATGCTGCTGGGAAAGATTGCATTGACAAAGCACATGATTTATAATCACTCATTCCTCTAAACTGTCTGTTGTTATTCTTCAGCGCTAAGAACCTGGAGCTGGCTGCAATGGGCCACTGGGCTAAACTGTACTACTGATTTATTTCCATAATTACAAGCAGCACAGCCCTTCAACAAAGAAGAACAATTTGGCTCTGGAAAGTAGATGGACACCTTTAAAATAGGTAGGATTTAATGGCCCAGTGCACTTTTTTTCCCTTTGCAAATGGCTTTGGAAGATCAATGGTTGGATCTGTACCTTGGCAGAAAACTGGGCATGTTCATCCATGATTATTTATGTAACATTGCATCTGATTTGGGTATCTACAGGCACTTCCTCTGCTCCAAAATACAAATTCACTCCATCAGACATGTCAGAATAGATAACAATTAGTCCTTACTCTGTATCAATTATATAGTAGTGGTTGAGTTTCAAAGTACTTTCTTGTATAATGCAATATTTAATAAATAGACTCCATGGGACTTACTTTCACATGTGTATACAGGATGGAAACCAAGTATTTAGCACACAAAAAAAGAACATCATGTGGACTAAACTGGGAAGTATGGGGAAATAAGCAATCTAAAAGTGATGAGCTCTGAACAAACAAGATTCAAGGCCTCATAACTTAATTCCATCTTACACGTAAATGATATTTAGTGTGATTGTTTACCGTATTTTTCCGTGTATAAGACTATACTTTTCTCTAAAATCTATAGACTAAAAATTGAGGGTCATCTTATACATGTAAGTGAGCTGAGGAGAGAACAAACACAAGTGGAGGGGAAAGCAGGGATCAAAGTGATCCTGCAGGGCTTTGATCCCTGCTTCCTTCTCCACTTGCTAAGCCTTAGCAAAAGAAAAGCAGGAATCAAAGCGCTGCAGGATGGCTTTGATCTCTGCTTTCCCCTCTGGTTACTAAGTCCCATGGGGCTTAGCAAAAGGAGGTGGAAAGGATCAATGCAATCCTGTGGCTGTATAAAGAGAAAAGGGATCAAAATGATCGTGCAGTGGTAGGATTGCTTTGATCCCTTTCCCCCTCCTTTTGCTGAGTGCCATGGGGCTTATCTTGAAGGGAGAAAGCAGGGATCAAAGTAATCCTGCAGTGCTTTGATCCCTTCCTCCCTACACTTGCTAAGCCCCACTTAGATTTCTTAATTTTGGGTTAGAAAAGTGGGGGCGTCTTATACATGAGGGCATCTTATACATGGAAAAATACGGTATTTCCTTTTATAGATACTTTTTTTACTTGCTTGATATCTGAAAATACATTATTTCTTGGGGGGGACACAAAACAGTGAACAAAAAGCATTAAATATTGAGTATTAATGAAAATGGACTTTAAAAACTAGATTTTAAATTTTACATTGTAAAAAGAATATCAGTTGCCTCTTCCATTGCTAATGCAAGAAAGAGAACTGGCACAGGGGATCCAGAGCTGGCTCAGTAGTAAAAAAATAGTTTGGGACCCTGGACAGACCCACCCTGATGATCCAGAGTTCAATAGTTCAGGGCTACAGTTAGCAATCATTCAGATGAATTCATTCACATTCCACCAATGCTAATTTATAGAATTACAGAGTTTTAAAGGCTGCTCAGTTAACTGGCTGGGAAATTTCCTAAGGGTTTTCCTTGATTTTCAGAGGCATTCAAGACTTATGTGGTGTCTAGTGGCAGAGATAGCTCAGCAGATGAGGCACAGACCCTAGTTATGTGTACTAGGGAACAACTGGTGGGTGGATTCTCTCTATCTCAGAGGTCTCTATGTGAGGATTCCTGCTCTGGAGATATGCCAAAAGTACTTTGTAACTCATGCAGCCCAATTTCATGTATATGTATTCAAAAACAAGCCCATCTGTGTTTAATGAGACTTATGATAATTTACAATATTTCCCAAAGCATTATTTTCCTATAATGTGGTATTTGTATGGGAGAATCAGCAAGTGGAAATCCCTTTATGGAGATGCCACTCTCTAAGATTTTTTTTCACTTCAGAATCAAACCCAGGAAGTGTTTTGAACTTAGGGGAAACATTTTCATGGGAGTGTTGAAAATATCAAGCTCTCCTTCTTCGTGGTGATCTCTGTAGTTCTATTCATACTATTTCAGCAAACACTGGACTGGTGTTAAAAAAACCTGTCAGTCTAATGACTCCCTTACTCCCTATTAGCACCACCTCCACTATCTTCTAAGCAATTGATTCCCAATTTTGGGTCCAGTATATCTTCAAATGTCTCTTGGCCTAAATCTTAATCCAACCTCATGGCCAGTTGTCATACAGGCTAGAGTAGTGGTTTCCAGATATTCTTGGACTGCAGCTCCCAGAAACCCCAGCCAGCACAGCTAGTGGTGAAGCCTTCTGGGAGTTTTAGTCCAAGCACATCTGGGGACCCAAGGTCAGGGAACACTGTTCTAAGCCACTATGTATTTCCTTGCAGACCATCATCCAACTGTACTGATGTTGTCCACTCTCACTGAAGCTCCTGCAGTTTTCACCTTTAGAACTAAGATGCTTGTGTTTGTGTTCATAGAACACTCAAGGGATAATAGACATTATTGCGGCAAAAATTCAGATAAGATAGATACATTGAATATATCTAATATATTACATTTTCCTTTGGTTGCAATACACTTTGAAAATTCATCCCTTTTTGTTATCTATTATTAAATAGCTCAGCTTACTGTATGCCAGCCACAGACAAAACACAAAGGAAGACATGACCTCCGCTTCAATATACTCACAAGCACGGGAAAGAAAGAACTGGCAGAAAGAGGGGCTGGTATGATGTATATTAATAATATTCAGAAGAATGAGAAGTTGCTTTCCCCCTGATACAACTTTTTTCTATGTTGGATAAACTTTTCCTTTCTTAAACAAAAGCATTAAAAGAAATGATTTTATATTGTCAGTGGATGCCTACAATAATAAACGCCTCTGTTCTTTTTATGCTGAAGCCTCAAACAAACAGCTGACAGATTTTCATTGACTTTCAGCGGTAAGCTGCCTCCAAATAAATATTGCTTTCTTGACTACAAATTAGGTTCCTGTAAACATGCCCAGAAAGCTTGGCATGCTTCATTTCAAGGAACTCCTCTAAGCAGTTTTTCAGTCAGTCTCTTCAGACATTTGAGAAGCACATGGACTGTACATGTCAGAATAGAGAGCAGGGACAAGTGTACGTGCTCTGCCCCCATCATCATTCTCACATCACTCCACTAGATGCAGTGGGCAACTCTACAAGGATGAAAGACGTGTCTGCATTATGCAGTTACATCAGTCCAGTACCTTTTTAACAGCCACAGCTGTATCCTAAGTAATTCTGAGATTTGTAGTTTCTGCTGTAGTTCAGGTCCAGTGCTAGGAATGGGACATTTGGGTTTTTAAAAAAAGTAAGAGAGTCTTACTTTTGTTTCGGATTAATCTCTTGATTCCCCCCAAAGTTTCTTTCTTTTGGTTTTCTTTTTTGAAGTATGCCATAAAGAAGCCCTGCCTAAGCAGCAGTCGATCAAAATTTCCTGGGCTGCAGTGACAGCAGTGGGAGGAAGAGGCAGGCAGAATGCAGACTTATGATTCATGACTTAAAAGTTTGCCCAAAATATTTCTCACCCTTCTCCTCCCTGAGGAGGGACAGAACTTGATGATAACTCAACTCAGAGCTCATTACCCACTACTTCCCCCCCCCCATGTTAGTGCTTCCTTTTCTTTTTGAATCTCATGAAAGGCAAATGAAGATCTATGAAACAATTAGGAGGGCAATGAACTAGAGTTTTATTTGTGTGTGATGATTACTATTAACAGGAAAGGCTACTAAGTGGCATGGGCAAAGTGCAGTGGGGAATTTATATGAAATAACACCTTGGTTTTTGAGATTAGAAGTGTAAAGCTGCTCTCCCCTTGGAACTTCATGACCATGTGATTCGAAGTTCACAGTACATTTTATTTTCAGTTACCTCAGCTCTGCTTTCAGGGGGGTTTGTTTTTATGAATTCTTGAGGCTTTTTTAAAAAAAACTTTCTGTTGCTGCTTTCCCAGCAGCTCCCGGAAGGGTACGGGAGGAGGGAAAAGGGAGGAGCAAGATGGGGGGCAAAGCAAAGCTGAGGGGAGAGGTGAGGGGCACAAGCAAGGTCTCTCCTCTCCCCAACCAATTTTATGTCTCCATGGCACACCTGCAGAGGGTTTATGGCACCCCAGGGCACACAGTTTGGGAACCACTGATTTAATTAAAGGAACAGCTCCTGAAATATCTAAAATCTCAAGATGCATCCCCCTGAAAGAGCCCAAGACAAAAGAAAAATAAAACCTAGTAAGCTAATCACAAAAGTTCCTTTTAAATCGGAAGTACATGTGTACTTAAATGGGAAATGGAAATGAGCACCACCCCCTAGAGTCAGACACAGCTGGACACAAGGGGAACCTTTACCTTTACATTGCTACTGGAAAAAAACATAGCTTCAACTAGTCGGACTTTTGTTGGCAAGGTGATGTCTCTGCTTTTTAAGATGCTGTCTAGGTTTGTCATCACTTTCCTCCCAAGAAGCAGGCGTCTTTTAATTTCGTAGCTGCTGTCACCATCTGCTGTGATCATGGAGCCCAAGAAAGTAAAATCTGTCACTGACTCCATATCTTCCCCTTCTATTTGCCAGGAGGTGATGGGTCCAGTGGCCATGATCTTCGTTTTTTTTTATGTTGAGCTTCAGACCATATTTTGTGCTCTCCTCTTTCATCCTCATTATAAGGTTCTTTGATTCCTCCTCACTTTCTGCCATCAGAGTAGTATCATCTGCATATCGGAGGTTGTTGATATTTCTTCCAACAATCTTAATTCCGGTTTGGGATTCATCCAGTCCTGCATTTTGCATGATGTATTTTGCATATAAGTTAAATAAGCAGGGAGACAATATACAGCCTTGTCATACTCCTTTCCCAAATTTGATTTCCCAATTTTGATTTTGAGGATTACTGACTGACTTGTAAAATCATCAAACCTGCCTGCATTTTGAATAGTAACAAAAAAATTAAACTCTTCAAAATCAACCAATTCTTTTCCCAACTTTGAAAAAAAAATATTCCTAGAGTTCCACAAGGCATCTTCTGTATCCACCCAGTAGCACCCCCAAAACTCTGATTATATGGAAAAGAAATAAGGGCGAATATAGATGGCATTGTTGCTTGCATGATAAACTACACCTACAATGTGTTGGTGATAAATGGCACGCAGTGTAGCCTGCGTGTAGTTTCACATCTGCTAAAATATAATATTCTATGTATTATTAAAGGCATAGACATTCTGCCCTCTTTTCCATTTTCCTGCGATTAATCAGTAATCAAGTTCCTGAAGCCTTCTCATCCATAGCTCAGTTCCCAGATAACATTTATTCATTATACAGTATTCCATACTTTTTCAAGTATTCAAAAGGGTGTGCATGGTGAAATTTTTCATATTTGCTTTGTTTCTTCAGAGTGCCTCTTTTGTTTTCATATTGGTGTGTGTGCACGCGCGGACATCTGTCCTTTCATTTTACACAAACCAGAATGTCTCTTTTGAAACATTCATTTCATGTTTTCCTATCTGCCACTCCAGAAGCCCCAAATAACCCTTTAAAATATACCCCCCAACACGTCTATCACACACACAAGGAGAAAAAGTATTGGGAAAACAGATTTCCTAAAATTCATTATGATGCCCTAAGTTGACCATACCTGTATATATACAATTAACTCTGCATTCCAGTGAAATACTGTGCCTCTTGTGGCATATTTTTCTGTATGTATAACATACTACAACCAATATCAATCAACACACCTTTTGTTATACCTTTTGATCAAGTACTATGCAACTTAAAAGTATTACATCTCTCTTCTCCTTGCATCTTTCTTCCATTTGCAATGTGATGCATCTGAAGTCACTTTTTCTCTTTCCTTTTCCTATTCTCTCTTTTGCTTTCTCTTGTTTTTCTCTGCAATATTTCTTTGAACATTCTGGGAAATTTTAGGTGGTTCCTATTTTGATTTACTGATTTACTTTCAGTTTATCCTCTGACACCATGTAATATTACTGCGGCAAAATGATGCCTCAGGAGACTAAAGTGTGGAACAAACACTGTGCAACTCTCACTCTAACTGATCTTAAAATGGCTACCGCTTTGCCTTTCATTCCTCTCTTGGCTTCCCAGACATCTTCTATTTCTGAACCTGTTCACAACAACACTCTGATTCCCACTGTCATTATACATAGTCGCAGAAGGGCTGTTCCAGTAGCTTTTCTTGAATATATATACAGATTGGCAATAAATCATTTAAGATATGAAGAGTTAGGAGGAGACAAATTATGGGTCTAGGTCAGTGGTTCTTAACCTTGGGTTACTCAGGTGTTTTTGAACTGCAACTCCCAGAAATCCCAGCCAGCACAGCTGGTGGTGAAGGCTTCTGGGAGTTGTAGTCCAAAAACACTTGAGTAACCCAAGGTTAAGAGCCACTGGTCTAGGTAATGTACATATGGCCCTCTGCCTATGTTTGCTTGGTCCAGGGCCTTCCTGGATCCCCAATCCAGTGGCCAGGAAGAGAATGACAAAAGGGAGAATTACTTACCTATAAGCTACCAGGAGTAGGAACTCAGTCAAAACAAGGTGTACCTTCCCCTCTGCATGTTTTATTTTGCCAAAAAAGAAGGGGGGGTTGTTGAATTGAAAGTGAGATTCTTGTCATTTCTGGCTTTGTTTTAAGGAATGTTGCAACCTGTGGCAAAGTCTCAGGAGCAAAAGAAAAATCCCCCAAACCCTCAGAGTTTGCCCACCTAAGCACACTAAGCACAAAATATCTTGCCTAGGGCAGGATGAGCGATGGCGTGATCCTCCAGATATGGTTGTACTCCAACTCCCATCAGTGTCGTCCAGCATGACAAATGGTCAAGAAAACTAGGAATTGTCATTTGGCAGCATCCCAAAGGTAACAAGTTTTCCATTCCTGCCTTAGGGTCAAAGCTGACAACTGCTGGATTCCCTCTGTTTTCTACTACTGCAGCTGTACATTCACACTGTAAACAAGCCCAACAGGACAGTGAGTTCACTAGCCCCATGGCTAATCTGGATCATTATTTTCAACACATCCACATCTGTTCACATCTCTGCTACCACTGGGAAGGAGAATCATTGTGCACTGACTATTCCTGCCTCTTGAGGCTCGTTCCCAAAACGTTTGGCAACAGGAAACAGTTGTACACCATTAAGTGAACGGCCTTGTTAGACAATAGCCGCCCAAGGGTAATGCTATAATAATCATGCTAGATTTATTCTGCAGGGACAGTACAACAGCATCACAAGTTTAGACAGCAGAACAAATATTTAAACACTGGATGCCAAAAAACTACACAGCACAACAATTTTCCATTGTGGGCTAGATGAAATGCAGAGGTTGCTATGGAGGCTGGGCTTTTTGGCAGCAAATTTATACAGTCTATATAATGTGGTTATTCTACAGCCACTTTGTGAGAAGAAAAATATCTATTACAAACAAAGTAATGTTTGTGGTTCCATCAGCAGTTAAAAGTGAAAATAAAAATAAGTCTCTTCCTATTAGTGAGAGAAATCATTTATTTATGGACAGACAGATTGTTTATTGCTTTCTTGTAAGTGCAAATCAACTGAGATATCAGCAAAAGCCTTTTAATCAATCAGTTAGTCAGACAATCATCTGTCTCTCTGGCAACAAAGAGTTGCATAAACCTTTCCCATTGGTCTAACCCAATGCAAAGGGGTGAAAGAGCATACAGAGCTCCTCCTGTCCTAACCAGTTTGCTAACCCCAACTATACTATCACCCACCCATCT